GAGCGGTGAGGCCATTCAGCTGACGCACGCGATCGATAATACGTCCGGTCAACTCGAAGTCGCACTCTGCGATATCACCTACCTACCGCAATGGACTAACATCAACGCCAGCAACAATAAGCTGTTCGTTAGTGGAACTCGCAGCCAGATAACTGACGGCTACTACAGCGTGTGCTCGCTAAGCGATGAGGTCTTCAAACCCCTGGGAGCCGAACTCAAGATGAACGACTCAAACGGCACAGTGGTGTTAATCAACAACGGAAGAAACTCCTTGAGGCTCGGCCGGCCATTGGCGAGGACACTCGGTATGTCACCTGACGAGATAAAACCAACAACAACCGTCACAGGCACGAAGTTACCCGACCTAGTACCGTACCGAGAGCTGTACATTCATCTAGGTCAGGTGAGCACAACGTACAACATTCAAGGGGGTCACCCTTCCACTATACTGAGAGCCGTGCCGGTGAAAACGGAGAAATACAACGACGGTAGAACCGAGTCGTTTTCACCGCGGCAGTATAAGAGGTTGACTCAGGGCAACATACCTGAGCTGATAATATCGGTGTTAGATATAAATCATAATCCCGTGAATATAGGATACCTCAGCTTAACGCTTCACATAAAATGACCAGCGCACAAGGGCCCGGGGTGAAAAAATGCGTCAATGTGGGGATCTCCGACCTCGGGGACACACGCGGTTTCGACGCTCCCGGAGTAGATGGTAAATTGTACGCCTTGCAACTGAAAACAACATTTACAAACGCGTTGAAGTCCCTCCGGTGGAGCCCTAGGTGATATAGTAGATACCTCAAGAGCGGTAGTCAACACTAAGTACACCCTAGTCACCACCGGTAATGATAATTGGATAATATACCCATCGTTCGGGGCAAACTGTTCGACTTAGACGATGTTGAGAGCACTACCGTCGCCCGAAACAAGCCATATATGCTCGTCTTCACCGAAGATGACAAGTGGGTGTTGTTACCAGATAAAGACGACTGGTTTCTCAATATTAGGCTCGGCTCCCCCTATGTGTTCACGGATAACAAAGACAACCACCTAAACAAAGTCGTTAACAACGGAACCCTGCTCGTGGCTTACGTCCCGACTCAGAGACGTAGCGTAGTCATCAGCCCAGTCGCCAGTATGGCAGCCCACATGCTATCGAGTAAAGCGGGCATGCAAAACGTGACATTGCAGTTGGTGTCTGAATTTGAAGGCGTGGTCAGGATACTAGAGAGTCTACCGGCGAACTCAACACTGATCATCAAAGTCTACCTAGGGGAACCATCGGGGAATGATGTCGAGATCGTGAAGGGGATCAAACTTGGGTGGGTGAAACGACACCAGTATCACGTTTGCACAGTTTACGTGCGGGTGGGTGTCGGCTCCAACACCAGTCTGCAGGGTGTCACCGTGATCGTGGAAAACACTATATCACTAACCAAGATCTTCCTACCTGACAACATACACTTCATGGGGGGTGAAGTTAACCCCTGAACTATTATCAGAAAACCAGTTGGAAATTATATCGTAATAGTATTATAGCAATGACCAGTCATCGTCCCAACACTACGCTTAACGACCTAGGGGACATGGAGGGATTCGATCAGCCTGGTGAGGAAGGTGGCTCATACATCCTACACTTGAAAGACAACGTGTATAGGCGGGCAGCATTGGTCGATCATCTACCCAAGCCCACACTCGAGGGCTTAGGGGACACGGAGGGATTTGATCAATCTGGTGACGACATATACCTCCTACACTTGAAAGACAACGTGTATAGGCGGGTGCCGTTATTTTATTTTAAAGAGCCTGAATGGTTACTCAACTTAACCCTCGCCTCACCTTATATCTCATTAGACAAAGATGGTTATGTCTCTGAAATTAAGAACAACGGTACCTTGATCACGTCTTTCATTCCAACTGGAAAGGTGATACTTTCTGACTCCGAATATTTACCTAGGGACACCCTGTTAATTTCCCCCAGGCAATCCCAGTTAATAGCCACCCACCATCATAACATAGTAGGGGTTAAGGCTATGGAACCAGGCTCCACACTCATCGTAGAAGTCGCTCACAAGGGTAAGTTTGATTCAAATGAACATATCCCATCCCCAAACTTGCAGATTTTACCCGGTGTAACAATACGTTGGAGTGACTTAACTGTAGGACAAGGTTTTACACGTTGCAGATTCGTTATACGATTTGGAAGCTCCCAACAGGGATTACTACCCCCAATAATATACTGCTTTGGCGTTGAGATATACCAAAAGTTACCTATTGACCCTTCCCTTATCTACATATACGAGAATCTCAGTTTTATAAACCTCAGGTACATTGACCGACAACTAACTGAAACTCAATTAAAATATCTTTTGTAATATATATTATAGGATGGGGCTGTACCCAGTCATAGAGGAAGTAGCGAAGACCCTGGAAACCGTAGACGGGTTCCGCTTGAGGCAGTTATGTGATGTGAAACGCCAACTAGAACAAGACCGCGACACACGTAAAGCACTATGTAAAAAGTACCATAGAGCTTTCAATATCGTGGACGGGGCTGACACTGCCCTTATGGCAACCAGCATGGGACTAGGGGCGGCAGGTGTTGGGTTGTTAGCTACCATCGTGGCTGCACCTATAGTGCTAGGCATTGAAATAACAGCTGGGGTGGCAGGGGTGTTAGGGTTGGCGCTTAAGTTGGCATCACGCAGACTGCATCGTAAGGCATTGAAACACGATGAGATCAGGGTTCTGGCTGAAGCAAAGCTGAACACAGTAAGTGAGCGTATTTCCACTGCACTCACTGACAGTAAGATCTCAGAGGAGGAGTTTAGTTCAATCCTCTCTGAACTCACAAAATATAACAAAATGAAACAAGAGATTCGGTCCAAGTCTCGTAAGTCTACTATCAGCGAGGATGAGAAAAAAAAGTACATAGAACAAGGTGTGAAAAAAGCCCGGCAAGCCTTTATTACAAACACCAAAGAGATCATAGGCGATTCACATTAAACTGTTTCATCGAGGTAAACATGGCATAGTGCCATAGCGGCACGTTAGACGCAGCCCAGTATTGGATGGGGCAATACCCGTTACTTCCCCCATGCCCCCGGTAGCGCGGCTAGGAGGTGCGTTCGCATCCCCCAACTTTTGTAGTAGGGGTAATGGTAGCAAGAGCTAAGGGTCCGACCAAAGCCTTACTTGTGAAATAAGGCTTTGCAGAGGCTTTGGTTGAAAGTGATCCAGAACCCCCATTGTATATACTACCACACACCCAAACACCCACTCATCCACACACACACTCACCCACTCATCCACACACCAACACCCCACACGCCCAAACACCCACTCATCCACACACCCAAACACCCACTCATCCACACACCCACTCACCCACTCACACACACACACACTCACCCACACACCCACTCATCCACTCACCCACTCATCCACACACCCACTCACCCACTCATCCACACACCCACTCACCCACACACCCACTCATCCACTCACCCACTCACCCACTCACCCACTCACCCACACACCCACTCATCCACAAGCCCACTCATCCACACACCCACAAGCACAGTGGATTTCTGGTTGATGTTGTCGTCGCCGAGGACTGAGATGTAACAGGAGATGCGAGTTATCCTGAAGACAATATTTAACACTGAGCTGGCATGGCGGCCACAAACAGTCATTAGGGTCTTGCACTTGAATATTGATCTAAATATAGTTCTCATCAGTGAAAGAGTTGGGTTTTTAATTATTTCAAAGGAGCTGTTGTTATCTGATGAGATTTGTTGGTTTGTACTCCGTCGCACACAGCTTTATGACGTCAGACTGGATCCTTTTACAAAAAGCTTGTTAACACTGCGACAGTCGATCGATTGTGTTTAAGTTTAAGTTTCGATCACCTTAGCTCGAAGACCGGGACATCACAAAATGTAATCGATATTATGTGCACTACGCCACAGAGAGAGTTTGTCTAAGAGTTTGGTTTTCTTTAAATGTATCCATCCAGTAATAACAACTGACCATATCTTTTAATATTTAAAGTGATGTTTTATCTACCACATGTGTTTTCAAGAGGTTGACATTTTGCGGAAATGGTGTTCGTCTGTTTAGCTTCCTGTACTCGGAAAAGGAGCTGGCTGAGGTGGTCATTTTTTGTATTTTTATTTGCTTCTTTAAGGCTTGTATAGGCAGAGGCCATATAATAGATATGGTCTCTGGTATAGGCAATTAACTATATATGTAATGTCGCCGACGTGAAGATTTAAAACATTCGGGACTTCAAGAGAATCCCGACAAATTAGTCTTCTGCTTCTACATATATGGGCAAACATCCCACGACAGGCTGGGTGGCATTTACCGATGAACACTGGAGTGAGACCTGTCTGGCGTCTGGCGTCCCAGAGTGTGGGCTAAAGGCGATATTTTACGATTGCTTCCTGTGGTCGACGGTCTCTTCCACCTATGGTCTTAAGTTTTCGACCTGTTTGAGGCTGCTCAATGCGATAATCAAGCCTATGGTGAGTGACTGCATTTGCTCTGACAGACCACAATATGAATGGAAGATCCCTAAATATGGTTCAAATATAAAACGTATTTAATTGGAAATTTTAAACCCACAATATTCCACTATCCCAACCCCACAGTGATCCTTACTGCTCCCCATCTCACCCCAACACACACACAAATAACCCATCCCACACCTTTCATTGTCGTTTTGGGCTGGTTTGTTTTTTACAGGACGCCGACTCACACCCCACTCAACCAACCCTTCACACCACCGGTGTGCATGACGCTTGTTAGTTAGAAGAGATATCAATTTCAATATTTTGTCAGAAATTAATTAACCGAGATTGTGTTTTGTCTCGCATTCACGAATAGCCAGATGTATATTGGTTGCAGCAAAGACGTACGTATACGTCTTTGACTGCAGTATCAAACTCATGTTTCGTTCAAGTTGTTTTATATAAACCGTGGCCAAACTTCCGGTATATAATGAATTAATGAATGCTCCCTGGGTTGACAACATGGCAGATTGGAGAAGTAACAGAAACGGTTTGTTTACTTATTGCTGTTTGCTTTGATCACTTCTACCCACTTCACTCAAGTATTTATTTGGGCGTTGGACGTGTGGTCGTGCATTTTCTGGTAGACAATAGTCTTTCTTTTGGATTAGAGGGATAGTGAAAGAAACGACAGCCTGTCAATATCAACAGCTTTCAGTCAATGATGAGTTCCTGCCTGACAACAGTGCAGTTTTCTGTATCGCACTCACGAAACGAAAGACGTTGTTATCCATAAAAGTTGTTATAATTACACTTCCCAACTTCTAAAATGCCACTCAAAGAAGCTTTGAGTCAGAACTATTCAGTTTGACAGCCATCACTGGTGTCGTCAGAATGTCATCACCGCCTGTGTCAAAAACAGCCACCTGTAAGTCCTCCCCCATAACCACTGACTTGAGATTTTTATAACCATTTATATTATTTGATAAAATGGAAATACAGTATGTGTCAATTTATGGTTAGGGAAAGGGTTTTAATATGACACTGTGATTACAGATGGAAAGCCTGACTTGATGGCTGAAATCACTGGGATGAAATTATCAGCCTCAATGACTTAATCGATTGTGTACCCATAATAGACTACCTCGATGTAACAATGCTCCTTATATTTCTTTCTTATTGATTTGATTCAGAGTTGATAATGTTCGGGAAGGTGATGTATGGTTAGATTGTTAGCAGACATTACAAATGGACATTTGGTGTCAGTAACTAAATAATTCCCATAAAAAGTAGGCAGGAAATCATTGTCAGTTTTGTAAGTTTCAAGTCAAATTCTATCAGTATTATCCAGCAGGAAGAGGGTGAAAAGGAAATTATGTGTGCAATGTACACTGCCAGTCGATTGAAACCCGATTTTGATTCTTAACTAAACTATTTTGACACAAATGGATTACAATGTGTCCGCACACAACAGGGGTGTGGTCGAAGCAAGCCCTCTGATTTTAAGTATTTTCAGTGCAATATCTTTATCAATCTGGATAGTGATTTTTGCTGACATGTTACTGAAAGGTGACTGTACCTTTAGTCACTGTCAGATTGATTTATCTGATAACATTGATAACGTCACCCGAACACAACCGCCCTCAGAATCAACATGCAAAATGTGTGGCATGGATGTGCTCCACTCTTCACATATCCACCCTGATCGGTGTAAACCCACCTGTAATCATTCCTCTGGCACAACAAGCGGGTCCTAACTTCATGTTTATGGATGATAATGCCTGTCCATGGATGATAATGCCCGAGAAAGAGTTGTAAATGATGTTGTTTAGATCAACATCACACATATGGACTGGCCTGCAAGGTCACCTGATCTTAATCCCACTGAACATGCTTGGGGTATTGTTGGAAGTCGTGTTTACAGTCTCCATGTTCACCCCACACTCTGGATGACCTGGAGCAGGCGTTACAGAGAGAATGGCAGATCAGGCCACAACAACAACTTGAAAGGCTCATTTGGTCAATGCAAAGACGTGTAGAAGCTTGCATTTGTGCTAATGGTGGTCATACATGTTACTGAACACTGCTTCACTGTCCAAAACTTACTTGAACCTTAATGTTAAAAACATTTTGCTCCACCAAAGCAGCACATCTTGCACGACTGTTTCACGGGTACATGCTTTTGATGATTTGTAAGTCTATTATTGCTCAATACCATTTTATTTCATTTTGTTAATCGTGTGTACATACGTTCCACCTTTCTATTGCATCATTCCATGATTTGCAATTTCAGTAAATGAAAATGTAATGAGACTAAAAGTTTGTGTTGCTTAACTTTTTGTGACGAGTTATCTATATTCAGTAAACTCCATTGTTGTGCATTATGATGAAAAATACTGACTTAAAGATAGATGTGTATGTTAGTCCCTATTTATGATACATTTAGTACCATGAATAAAGTTGAAAGCAAACTGTAGAATATATACAAATTAACCATGCCTTCAGACACTGGCGCTTGCTATAAAAAAGAGCCCCCCTTACCCTGCATTTTTAATCAGTTGTAACAGCCTTAGTAAAAAAGTTATCACTTGTCAGTGTGTATTCACAGTATTCTGTGTGTGCTTTCAGGCAAGACAGAGGAGATTCTCGACCATGAGAACCAGCAGAGAGTTGATGGCTTGGCGGGAAAGATCTCCAGATTGAAAGGGGTGAGCATGTTTCTATCATCTTTCATGACCTGACATATAACTTGGATGTGGTCTGATACTACCATGACCTGACCATTATTATAAGTAGTAGTACTGAATATTTATAAAGCGCACATATTCACACACTAGTGCATGCTCAAGGCACTGGTATTTTTTCCCTCGATCATTGGATGTCAATCTCAACGGCACTTCTCTTAATCTTATCATCATGGGGATCATACAACTCTTGCAGCCACTAGGCACACCGAGTTAGTGTGGCTTTCTCATCCTAACAAGGTACCCATTCACAGCTGGGTGGACTGGGACACATAGTCAAAGTACTTTGTCCAAGTTTACTGCAAGTTGCTGTACCTGCAACTAGGTGTTTGCACATATTCATGTGGCCACCATCTGGTCATTTTCCAACGGATTCGTGGGTTTTTTTAAGTGCACAAGGTTGTGTACTGTACACTAGGGGTTGTGACAACTCTGAAAGAATCTGCACACAAAGTTGACTCCAAGGTTTTTACACCCAGTCACATGTGGGCTCGATCCCGGCACCTCATGCTTGCCGGATCATTAGCCTGACGCCTTAACCAGCTCGCCCACCACGTCCCCAAATGTGTAGTGGTGTCCGTTATTACCATGACCTGATATATGACATGTGGCTGTACCCTGATATATGACATGTGGCTGTGACCTGATATATGACATGTGGCTGTGACCTGATATATGACCATGCACTAACCACATGATATTTTTCAGATTGCTCTGGACTTGGAAACAGAGTCTCGAGACTCAAACCGATACCTGGATGGAATGGTAAGGCCATATGCTCACTGGAAGTTTTGCTTCCAACCTCCCCACCCCTCTGATTGAAGCAAGGCTTCCTATGCTGATGTTGATGTCCATGTTGGAAGTCACTAGCACAGGTTGTTGTCACTGACGGGGGGCTTAGCCAGATTTTTGCATTACAAGCCCCTGTGGTTACCAATCCCAGAAAATCCTTTCCCAGTGAGTTGGATTTTCAGAATTGTTTTCAGCATGACATTCTTGGACATGACCTTATCATTATGCAAAAATGTACAAGCGATTATTATCAAAAAGTTGTAAACTGAAAGCATGGAAGTGTCCTGTTGTCCAGTTTGTGCAGTCACTGATTAGATCATTCCTCACAAATATGTCAACCAAGGTAGATCCTTATATAAGTGTCTGTTTAACTGACATTTCAACCAGTAATTGTTATGATTGTCTAAGTAATCTCCTTTCCTTCTGTCGCCAGCAAGATGACTTCGGCAGCACGCAGGGTTTGTTGTCCGGCAGTGTGACACGTATCACCAGCATGGTGAACTCCGGCAAGGGCAACCGGAAAGTCATGTGCTACATCATCATCGGACTTGTGTCTCTGTTCTTCCTTGCCTATTACCTGGTATCCAAGGTAACAGCAGGATGAATGCTGTGGCGCCAACAGGCATGGGATAAGAGTGGGAGTATTCAGGACGGGACAGATACAGACTGACTACATTGTGTTGTTTGTGGTGTTCCGGGCAGCACTGCTTTGTGGGTTTATGATCAGACACAATCTTATTTCTTTTAGTTTCTTGTGGGATTTTAAGGATATTAATGGGAAACTAACTACATTTTGACCAGATTGCAGTCCTAGTTTGAATCAAGTAAACATGCAAATCATTTGTTTGTTATCTGTCACTATAACCCCAGTCACATGCTATTGTCCATATTCAATGTTACACACGACGCCAAGACACAGACTTCGCTACACAGTCATTACACTGATTACAGACTCTACACATTACACAGTCTGCATTACAGACTCCGTTACACAGTCTGCATTACATTGCTCAAGACACAGACACAGTCTGTATTACACAGACTACACAGACATCATCATTACACAGTCTGCATTACAGACTCCGACATCACACAGACATCATTACACAGACATCTTACACAGTCTGCATTACAGACTCCGCTACACAGACTCCGCTACACAGACATCATTACACAGTCTGCACTACAGACTCCGCTACACAGACATCATTACACAGTCTGCATTACAGACTCCTCTACACAGCATCACACAGACACAGACATCATTACACAGTCTGCATTACACAGACTCCGCTACACAGACATCATTACACAGTCTGCATTACAGACTCCGCTCACAGACTAAACAGACATCATTACACAGTCTGCATTACAGACTCCGCTACACAGACTCCGCTAAACAGACATCATTACACAGTCTGCATTACACAGACTCCTCTACACAGACATCATTACACAGTCTGCATTACAGACTCCGCTACACAGACATCATTACACAATCTGCATTACACAGACTCCGCTACACAGACATCATTACACAGATTCATACACAGACATCATTACACAGATTCCGCACACAGACATCATTACACAGTCTGACTACGCTTACACAGACATCATTACACAGACTCCGCTACACAGACATCATTACACAGTCTGCATTACACAGACTACGCTACACAGACATCATTACACAGACTCTGCTACACAGACATCATTACACAGTCTGCATTACAGACTCCGCTACACAGACATCATTACACAATCTGCATTACACAGACATCTTTACGCAGTCTGCATTACACAGACTCCGCTACACAGACGTCATTACACAGACTCCGCTACACAGACATCATTACACAGTCTGCATTACACAGACATCATTACACAGTCTGCATTACAGTTTCAACTACACAGTCTGCATTACACAGACGTCATTACACAGACTCCACTACACAGACATCATTACACAGTCTGCATTACACAGACTCCGCTACACAGCCGTCATTACACAGTCTCCGCTACACAGACATCATTACACAGTCTGCATTACAGTTTCAACTACACAGTCTGCATTACACAGACTCTGTTACATAGACTCCATTTTGTGTTCTGCGTTACACAAACGCCATTTACACAGTCTCCATTACACAGCCTCCATTACACAGGTTTTTAATCTCAACAGATACAGACAATTCACCCTTAAAACAGAGTTGCCTGCTGAACCGAGTTTTTCTTCAGCATTTTGATAGGCAGTTTGATGAAGTGGTCTGGACCTTAGTAGTGTTGGGAACAAAACATCTGGAATTCACCGACATGACATCAATGATCTGTAGAGGCATTGTTGCATACTGGGTCAAGTTTCATCAAACATGAAAATTGGATGGAAAATACCAGTTGTGTCCACAGCATCACTAAGGACCTATTTATTGATGCTGGGGACTAAACAAATATGTTACTATCATTGATGGTAAACAAGACTGTTTGTAGTTCTAAACTGAGCATATATTTTTGTTGGATTTGAACTGTGATGTTAATTAATGATTTTCCCAATATGATTGCTAGAACAAAAGTCATGACAAAAGATATGTGATAATATTGTAACCGTGGCAAAAAAGTAGTACATTTACATTTTGCTGTACAATATGAACATTTGAAGTTAATCTATTAAACATACATAGTCCAAACATGCAGGATAGAAATGCTGTACAATTGGGATTGATTATGTAATAAGGCTGCAGCACGATCACCAGAAGGTCATAAATTTGTCATGTTTACATTTTGTGTATGAGACTAAGTGTAGATAATAATCACATTATTTTTAGATTTAAAGAGAAGTTTCCTGACTTTCTGTTACATTTCGTGTGTAAAAACAAATGCTCAAATTCCCTTCCTAATACTTCTGAACTAAAAAGTACCTCCTTAGTGCACATCATATGCAAAAATATGTTTAGTACCAGTTTTATTCTCTATCCTTTTCATAAGGTCATGCCACAACATGTGTACAACATGTGTACATTCAAATATCAAATGGAAGATATTTTCAGTGTCAGAACATAGTGAAGATGTTATGATTAGCTGTACATATTGGATCAAGTCCATGAGTTCTATGAAAATGTATGTTCATGTTTCTATATCAATGTCATTTTCCTAATTTCATTGATTTTCGTCAATTTTCTTTTAATGTATTTTCATTTATTGAATTGGAATCAATTAGCCTTCATCCATGTTCCTCTCACTCAGAGAGTTCTATCGGTTTCTTGCCATGTGAGCCACCCTTCTTGGGGCATCAGTGTTCAGTGTTAATGAATTCATGGCTTATGTCATTGTATGTGCAGAAGCTTACTTGTTACATTAGTCTGAGTATGTACATCTATATCTTTTAGGACATATGAACCCTTGAGTGTAGGGGTCATAAATGTGTTGTACACAGGTTTTAGTCATATCTCTGTAAATATTGTAAATGTATATATGAACACAGAGGGAAGATGTGTACATACTGAAAGGAACAGGATGGGAGAAATAAAGCTTTAAAATACACCATTTCTTGCTTTATTTCATGCATATGTGTGTGTGTGGATTGTGAAGGATGGAGGGATATATCACACTCAATATATTCCTGATGTATTCACATCATTAACTGGGATATAACACATGCACCACTTCAGGCTCTCCTTCAACATCAAACTGGGATATAACACATGCACCACTACAGGCTCTCCCTTCCACATCAAACTGGGATATAACACATGCACCACTTCAGGCTCACCTTCAACGTCAAACTGGGATATAACACATGCACCACTACAACCTCTCCTTCCACATCAAACTGGGATATAACACATGCACCACTTCAGGCTCTCCTTCCACATCAAACTGGGATATAACACATGCACCACTACAGGCTCTCCTCCTTCAACATCAAACTGGGATATAACACATGCACCACTGGGATATACAGGCTCTCCCTTCCACATCAAACTGGGATATAACACATGCACCACTACAGGCTCTCCTTCCACATCAAACTGGGATATAACACATGCACCACTACAGGCTCTCCTTCCACATCAAACTGGGATATAACACATGCACCACTACAGGCTCTCCTTCCACATCAAACTGGGATATAACACATGCACCACTACAGGCTCTCCTTCCACATCAAACTGGGATATAACACATGCACCACTACAACCTCTCCTTCCACATCAAACTGGGATATAACACATGCACCACTACAGGCTCTCCTTCAACATCAAACTGGGATATAACACATGCACCACTACAGGCTCTCCTTCCACATCAAACTGGGATATAACACATGCACCACTACAGGCTCTCCTTCCACATCAAACTGGGATATAACACATGCACCACTACAGGCTCTCCTTCCACATCAAACTGGGATATAACACATGCACCACTACAGGCTCTCCTTCCACATCAAACTGGGATATAACACATGCACCACTACAACCTCTCCTTCCACATCAAACTGGGATATAACACATGCACCACTACAACCTCTCCTTCCACATCAAACTGGGATATAACACATGCACCACTACAACCTCTCCTTCCACATCAAACTGGGATATAACACATGCACCACTACAACCTCTCCTTCCACATCAAACTGGGATATAACACATGCACCACTACAGGCTCTCCTTCCACATCAAACTGGGATATAACACATGCACCACTACAGGCTCTCTCCTTCCACATCAAACTGGGATATAACACATGCACCACTTCAGGCTCTCCTTCCTTCCACATCAAACTGGGATATAACACATGCACCACTACAGGCTCTCCTTCCACATCAAACTGGGATATAACACATGCACCACTACAGGCTCTCCTTCCACATCAAACTGGGATATAAACACATGCACCACTTCAGGCTCTCCTTCCTTCCACATCAAACTGGGATATAACACCACTACATGCACCACTTGATATAACACATGGCCACTCTCCTTCCACATCAAACTGGGATATAACACATGCACACCACTACAGGCTCTCCTTCCACATCAAACTGGGATATAACACATGCACCACTACAACCTCTCCTTCCACATCAAACTGGGATATAACACATGCACCACTACAGGCTCTCCTTCCACATCAAACTGGGATATAACACATGCACCACTTCAGGCTCACCTTCAACATCAAACTGGGATATAACACATGCACCACTACAGGCTCTCCTTCCACATCAAACTGGGATATAACACATGCACCACTACAGGCTCTCCTTCCACATCAAACTGGGATATAACACATGCACCACTACAGGCTCTCCTTCCACATCAAACTGGGATATAACACATGCACCACTACAGGCTCTCCTTCCACATCCTGGGATATAACACATGCACACTCAACATCAAACTGGGATATAACACATGCACCACTACAACCTCTCCTTCCACATCAAACTGGGATATAACACATGCACCACTTCAGGCTCTCCTTCCAACAAACTGGGATATAACACATGCACCACTTAGGCTCTCCTTCCACATCAAACTGGGATATAACACATGCAATCACTACAGGCTCTCCTTCCACATCAAACTGGGATATAACACATGCACCACTACAGGCTCTCCTTCCACATCAAACTGGGATATAACACATGCACCACTACAGGCTCTCCTTCCACATCAAACTGGGATATAACACATGCACCACTACAGGCTCTCCTTCCACATCAAACTGGGATATAACACATGCACCACTTTAAGTCTCTCTCCTTCCACATCAAACTGGGATATAACACATGCACCACTACAGGCTCTCCTTC